ATTAGTTTCGATGTCGTTTTTTTATATTTATATAAGGACGTTTAATTAATTGATGTAATATCAATTTCTTTAAACTATTTTAAATGGTTTAAAACGCAAAATATACACATTTATTTATTTTTTAATTCATCTCAACTCCGCCCCGACGTTTTGCACACCCGCAGAACTGACTCTGACACCTTCCATCTTCAATCCCCTCGTAAACGTAGGGCTGCAGGAAAATTAAATTAATACTTAAATAAGTTTTCGTATTTTAAACCGGTTAAAGCCTTATTGCAATGGTAAGCCACTGGGTCCGTTGGAAATTATTGTCTTTCCGAATTCATTCGACTATCAATGGTTAAATTATTTTCGTAATTATCTCTTGTTTACATCGAAATGTTCATTTTTACGCACTTCGGAAATAAATGAAGTTTTTTTTATTTATATTCAAGCGAACCAACGCTACTTTATCGTATAATACACAAAACATGTTTCCAAGATATTGTTGCTAGGGCCGATGGGATGACTGAACGATAAATGCAATTGTAAACACACGTGACCTCGGCATAGACGACCTCGCCTCATAGTTTGGCCCTCTCGAAATATCGTTACTAAATCAATCGTCTAACTACAATATGTTTAGCTTATATGAACTAACTTTATTTAAAGAAGGGCGAAGTATGTCTTAGAATAAGCAGTAAAGGTAAAAGAAATTGTTAATAAATAAAACATATATTTCGCGTTTGAAACCGTTATAAGTGCTTTATTGAAATGTGTACTACTCGCGTAAACTACAGACAGATCTTATCATCATCCTGTGATACGTCCTCAATTAAATTCTTGTTTCATAACTTATAAGAGTATATTTAATTCAGAGTGTCCTGTCACTTTGCAATTCTATAGATTTATTTATTGTAAATTCATGGCGCTATATTTTGTCTAATACAAAAAATACTATTAGCTGTCACTAAATACATAATTTAAGTAAACGTACTATTGAAACAATCTTTGTAAATCTGTCTGTAGACATTAAATTTAAATAAAACACTTTAACGGTCTCCCCGTGACGATGGCTGCTGCAAAGCATCCGAAACGTCGGGCCGAAGTTAATAATCATTTTCAAATAAGTTTAACTAATATATCGCGTTTTAAACCGTTCAAGTGTTTTATTTAAATGTGTACTACTCGCGTAAAGTATAGACAGTATTTGACATTAAATTAGTTTTGATACAGTTTTCATAAAAAGATTTCATTAATTTGAGTTGCAGCGTAATGGTAAATTAAAATAGTCAGATATACCCCATCTACATAATAGTCGATAACTTATAATGTATAGTTTTGTCAGCAAATAGAGTTTACTTGCATTTTAACATCATTGAGTTTTTACTTCGAACTTTGCTTAAGACGCTTAATTAGAAATTCATAATAAAACAAAACCGACTTAACTTTAAAACGGAAACGACACATTAAACCCGGGGCAACGTTTAACATAAACTAGATTTCCCCTTTAAAAAAATGATAACAACGCGCGCCTTGTCTAAATTAATAAAAAAATGCTGACTTAAAATTCATAATTTCCTGGACACGCTACTTTCCCCACAAAGCCCTCAAAGCCCCTTAAAGGGGTGCAGTGAAAAGAATAATTAGGGATTAGTTACTTTTCTAACATATAATGGCCGTAATCCGTGCCATGTAGTGACAAATTGGTGGTGTTACCATCTTTACCACCCTATTTGTCACGCTGTGATTTATGCATCTTTATAAACGCATAATCTTTGTTTGCTCTGGATAATTCGAAGTCTGCACACCCTTAAACATTACATATTCCTAGCGACATTGTTAGTGTCCGCCATTTTTAATACTGGCTGGCGAAAGTCACAGATAAGGTTCTGGGAATTTTGTCTGTGGTTATATTTAGTAAGAATTTTTATTATTTAATTAGGTAAGTCATCGAATGATATATATTTTAAATTCAAAATAAGTTAAAGGACAAAATAATTTTGCATTAGTTTCTCGATATTTTATCACAGTAGGTACATAAAACAAAAGTAAAATTGCGGATACATAATGCAAAAATATTTTTAAAACAGGTAACACTTTTCTGTAACTAACCAGTAACATAGTCGTCAGAAGTTACGTAAAAATATATCACAGAGGTTGACTCTGTTTAGCAGAACCTCTCTTTTATTTATAGTTAATGCGGGTAGTACGCATTTTAATAAAACACTTATAATGGATTAAAACGCGAAATATTCTAACCACTTCTCTAATATATTTATATTTTTCCTTTTAAACCGTAAAAAGCGGTTATATTTAACCTACCTAATCTCTTTATTCTAATTTATGTAAGAATATGTAAGACGTCACAAGGCATTATTTGGGACATAATTAGAGTAGGGTAAGCTTTTATCATTTAAGTATCGTTGTAAAATAAAAACATTATTACATTTTATTAATCATTCATTTTAAGTTTATTTCAGCTTACTAACACTAACTTACATTTCAATATTTAATACAGACAAAATTAAATTGTAAAGGTTTAACACGAAACTTATTATTAAACTCACTTTTAATTTTATTTAACTACGGTGAAGATGCTTTGCAGCAGCCTTGGTTATGCATTGCCTTCTAAACCGTTAAAAGTGTTTAATTTAAATTTGCTCCTATAAACTACAGACAATACTTAAACTATTGAAAAACGATGCATTCTGAGACATATATGAAGATGTCTTGAAAATTAAATGTTTTTAGAAATTCATTTTCCGTATCTAGCAATCTAATACGTTATCCCACTTGATAATTAATATGATATAATACAAGTTGCCAATATAAATGTAAAAAGTAAAATTTTCTCGATCTATCCAGGGTCATTGACTCTTTACAAAATTCGTTGCATTTGCACGCGAATTCAATGACCTAGAAACAGCCTTGCAATGCTGTTAGATCTTATTATGTTTGTTTATAAACTTATCTGTTATGCCATAATTATTACGAAACAATGTTAAGATTACTTGAATAAACATCTGAATAATGCATTTTGAAAATAATATACAGATAAACACGTTATAAACCATACGATTTTTTGTAAGCAGGATTATCAAGATTTATGGGCCGTCTATAAAATCGTCCTGGCACTCGACGGGCGCCCAGCATTGAGGTTTTATGTTTTGATTTAAAAAAATATGAATGACACTGTCAAAAAGCATCATCGAAGCGTCAGTTGTCAAAACGTTAAGTGACTTAATTATTTTCGTTAGCTAGGCGGGAAACGCGCGGATTATAACGGGTTTTTGTATCCTTAACAATTTTCGTGAGATAAGATGAATTAAATCATATTCTCGTGGTTATAGGGTGTACAATGGCGGCAGTTTGAGATGAGGGATTCGCGTCTTTAACTAGTTATATGCGGAACTCGGAAGTGTATAGTTCCCGCGTATCTATTTTTTGTAGAGCGAAGGGTTGCATGAATGGGAAATTAATTGAAGGGTGCTCTCGCTGAAAGGGGCACGGTTTAGGGTGAGCTTGATCTAATTTTTCTACGAAACGGCTGCGACTTAAGAGGGACAGGAAACCAATTTCATAATATCTTCGATATCATATTACGGTGCGTTCCACATATTTGAGTATTTGCAAAATTGCTTTTTAATTGTAATTTTAACAATGGTTAAACAATACTTAGCTTGCAAATAGTTCACCTAGCCTGCGAATAACAAAATATTCGCTTATTATTTATTAATAAAATTTTATATAAAATATGTTTTCGTAAACAATTTGTAGTTGAGTAACATACTGTAATTTAGTGGTACCTATAGTGTTTTAATTTGTCCCCTGCAACCGGTTTCAATGTAAACTGAGTCCCCATTGAAAAAGCCTTACACATATGCCCTGGATATTAAATTATTATTTTTTATATATACTTTACAGTTTTCTAATTCAGTAGTATAATATGCTTATATAGTTAATATGTATAACCTATAATGTCATAGTTTTAAACTTTTACTTCATCGAATATTGTGTAAGTACTTTAACCACGTTTATAATACTCGTGGATATATTTTTTATATTTAATAAGCCATGTCATTAATCTACTTATCCGAGAAAATAAAACGACGTACGAAAGACAGACAAGGTAACAATTAAATCGTAATTATTACTTAATGCCGTAGACTATGTAAATATGAATGGAGAATAATTAAAATAGCAATTATGCCACAATGGACAATTTATACACTTAAAGATATATTTGCGAAACTTGAAAAGTTGGTTGAAGTTTTTTATTTTTGCGGGGAAACGCGCGGAATGCGGGTTAACGAACCTTATGGCGGGAAAGTAAGATCGGGTGCACGCAAAGATTAAAATTATTTAACTGCCATTATTCAATAGAACCTAAAAAATAGGTCATTGAAGGTTGGGTGCGTTTTAAAAAGTTTAAGATTTATTACTTTTAATTTTTATGCTATAAAAGAAATATAGGGCTTTGAATATGTTCTTAATAATTATCACATGCAAATTAAGTACATATTTTTTATCTGTAAACAATATTTTTTTGAACGAATTTATAAATACAATTTTATTATTCTGTATGTTAGTATGTCATAGATAATAATCATTGATAGATGATAATTTTCAATTGTGATAAAGATTCTATCTTAACAGAGGCCCTGTCATCGGTGTTGGTATCGTTGTCTTCGTAACATAGTACCTATAAAATAATCTTTGTCAACGTGTCACAAAAAGTACTTCGGTAATAAGTAAGAAAGGTTCCAGGATTCAATTGTCAGCGTGGGTACGTGTTTGCGGCGAAGCACCCGCGACCCAATGGCCAATAGCCATTAAAAGTTATGGCCTAATTGTTTTCGCAGACGCAAAGCAATAACGGGCAATTCGTCTGAACAGCTCAGGTATTCGCTCGCCGTAGCCCATAAGCCGTGCCTTAGGAATGCCGACGGACTAGGTCCGACGCGGCCGGCAAAAAAGAGAAGCGACATACTTCGCCGAGGACCGCGGGCCGAGTGACGCTACCTAGCTCGATTTTCCACCCACAGAAACCGCCTCTGCCGCGACCGAGTGCCGACTTCGCACACATCTATATGCCCCGCGACAGCCGCTGCGCTGATTTCCTTCCTCGAGCGCCCCCCCGCGGCGACAGACGCCGGATGGCACTCGGCATATCTGCGAGATGTTCGCCTTTCTGCATCGCGATTGAACAGTGGCACACCGAGGAAGGTGTCCCGGTGCATCTAGCGATCAGTGGGTTCGGCGATAACGCGTATTTTCACAGTATTTCGTGAATGGCATAGAATTAGCCGGGTGGCGGGGGCCGCGGCGCGCGGGTTGCGGGGCGCTCGGCCGGCTTGCGACCGCTTACCGCTACGGCTACGCTACTCGCTCGAGACGTCTCCGTCAGTCAGTCGTGTCTACGGCGTCACACGTAAAGCGCGCGCGGCTCTCCTCAGAACCGGCATCCGAATAATGTTTCAGTGTTTGACAAATTCAATCGGAGGTCTCGGAAGAAGTACAGTCTTTAATTTACACTGTATAACCAATCGCATATTCTCAGTGAGTGTCACGCAGTGTGTACGGAAAAAACTTTGTCGAAGATTCTGAAGAATCTTGTGTAAAATTGTGTAATTTCGCCGGTGTTGCCGGATTGTGATTTGCACAAAACTTTTCGGTGAGTGTCTTTCTCATTTTGCATTGTGGCACGAACCGTATATTGTGATATTTAAACGCGGGAAATAGGTACGTATTACGAGTTCGCCCGCGAGTACATGGCGGGGCGTTGTCGGTATCGTACCGAGGCTTGGTTAGGAATTTCTGCGAAATGCCGGTACACAAATTCCTCGCATTATTGCGTCTACTTTTGCTTAAAACTATTAATTTTACCCTGTATTATTTTCTGTTAGAAATCGTTTTGAATTGCATATTTTTAGGTCACATTTAAGTCATGGTAACAAAATAGTACGTAATATTACTTATGCAACTTGAAATATTTTCTGTACTATATGTATAACATACATATTTCCAAATCGTGTTTTATGATGACAGCTATTTTATTACACATATTTAATATTTTTCATAAATCTTTTACTAAAAAATTAAAAAGTATGTACCTACATGTAAACTTTGAAGTTTAAATTAATACCGTAAAATTTTATAATAGGTAACTAACTGAAATTAATAAAAAAGTTAATTGTCGTGATGTGAAATTCTTAGTGTTTGCAATTTTATTTATATATTAACTCTGATGAATTTTTCACGTTAATTTTATTTAATGCCATTTTATTTGCAAAAGAATTTATTCAATTATTTGTACTATTTATATTTTTTTTAAACTTTGGAAAAGGTTTATTGCATTCCATAATAACCGATCTCTGACCCAAATCGATTTGTTACAGATTTACGAGCAAGAATGTGATTAAAAATTCATTAAAATCATAAATTCATAGTTTGTAATTTTGCCGATTTTATTATTTACGTAAAATTGAACAAGTTTCATAATCAATTTGCAAATCGTTTGGATATTAGAATTAGGACTTAATTCAAGCAGAGAAATTTAATAAAAACTAATGACGAATAGGTCTTATAAAATGTGAGTAATGGAACGAAACAACTGCGATTCGAGCACTTCAAAAATAAATATTTCCTCATACGGAAAATAACTGTGCAATATTATTAATTAATGTTATGTAATCGCCGTGTTACACAATGTGACGATCCCGACTCGCATAATTCTACAATATGAGCGGGAAAACAATAAACATTCGCCACTATTGGTAAACAATAAGTTCGCGCCATTTTGAGATTGTAAACAGTCCTTTCTTCAACTTTTACCTGGCGCAATCGTTTCGTGGAATCGTCAGGTAGGAAATGGAAAAAGGGGATTGCCAAACGCAGTACAGCAATTATTATTAGATTCTGGGATAGTGCTCAAGGACTCGTACCCTTTAAAAACGTTTGTTTTCGCGTCCAGACTTCAGTCTCAGTACTGGCTTTGTTGTGAACACTTGCTTCAGTGGTGTTTGTAAATATTGAGGTCATCAGCCTTCGGTGTCATTTTTAAATTTCGATATTATTTTAACACAAATTAATCGGTGCGTTGACTAGTAACTGCCTACTACTTATGGTTTATACTTAAGTTTTTTTGTGTCTTAACATTTTTTTTCTTTTGTTGCAGGCGGTGTGCGTGGACCCATCGCGCGCATCGTCCCTGTGATAAGAGGGCCCTGTGATATCGACGAATTCGTCTTAGCTTTAAAACTAGTTAGAATTTAGGATTACAATTGACACAATGTCGCCACCGATCGACATTCTGCAATTCGACGTATGGGAGTCGCTCGACGAAGAGTCCATGAACCTGTCGCAGACATCGGAGTTCTGGACCCAAGTCGAATATGAGGCGGACAGACTGGACTCCCCGAACTACAACCTGCTGCAAGATAGTGACGAAGATTGGCGGGTAGCGGAGACACCCGAAGAACACAAGGACAACATAGTGCACCATGATTGTATGTGGGCCGGGTCTTGTACTGACGGCTCGGGGTTGCCGAACACTTTCGTCCCCACTGATATGATGACCGCTGCGCCTGGACAGAGCGTGCTGCGACGGGATATGTACCCTCCGCGGCCGGAGACCCCGACTTCACTCAACGGGGATGATGAGCCCCCTCAGTTCCTGCACACTGTGGACGTAGCCGGAACAGCTCTTCGGCTCGTGAGAGACTCAGCTGCGGTGGCAGCGGACCACTCCTACACCCTGATACGCCAGCATGTTGACTACTTGGGCGTGCAGACGCCGTCTGACTCTGGAGAATCAGGTACGTAAATCCACTAATGCAACCCGACCCAATCAGGCGTCGCCCTCGTCATTAATATGACATTAATCGAAGACCAATTAGAAATTTAAATTTAAATGTCATATTGAAAGTCGAACTAATGTCTCGTGAACGGTTAATTGGCTGACGTTATTGCGATCGTGTGCTTGGGTAATGCAAAAAATTTGCTTTCATAAAAGTGTACTCACCAAATGTGAGGGTGCTTTAGTTTCCCATTTCGACAACATACAAGACAGTTAGTTGTAATTAAAACGCAAGCCCCCCTGGAAAATCGGGATGATCCTCCGGGGCATTTTAATTATCGGAAATTCGCAAGAAATGTGCAAGATGTGTCCGGGTCCCAACACGCAGGCGTCGCGTCGGGAGCGCGGGAAACTGCGTATCGACCGCGGCCCCCCCCGGCTCTGTCTAGACGCACCCGCTTCCGGAACCTTCCACTTCGACCTTGAACGTCCCAACCTTCCCTAATACCATCTCGCGGTCCCTTGTCAGACCTCTAGGATCGCTGGTGAGCTTTCATTCTAATAAAAGACCGTGGCTACGGTGGACCAATAGGGGCTGTACTTCTATCAATTATAATATTCTAGTTGAAGTCAGTGGCATTCTAAGCTCTCGCCTGTGACTTTTTCCTTTCCCCCTTTTAGGGCCTCTCTCAGCCCCCACTTCGTAATCAAATATTGGACATAACCTTGATCCCGACATTGGTAGTCCGCGGGTGAACAACCGGCCCGTCGCGACGTCCATTTAAATGACCGCTCCGGACCCCCAAAGTTCACGGGCTATTTCGCGTTCAGGAATTAGAAAATTGATGTTCAATTAAGCGTCGTTCGCTCTGCTTCTCCGATGAAAGTTTTGATCTCGCACTGAAAACTAGCGCGCTCTCCAATTAATCACTACTCGAATTAGATTTGCACGGCATCTTATTTGAATGAATAATTGATAGGCGACTGTTGCTAAGTGAGAATTACGTTAAGTTTCATGACCGCGAATCAATGACAGCCGATTTCAACAAAAGACGTATACTAATGTTTCGAAATTCATCAAGTCATTAAAACTGTAGGATGCGTAATAAGTTGTATAAAGGCGTTTTTTACACTCGGCCAAGTGAAGGACTGGGAATGATAAAGCGGAATCGATAGACGAATGTCGAGTCAATGTCGTATAAATTTTTCATAAAACACAAGTACTGCGTTATCACGGATTTAATAACGATCGTCGATAAGTAGGAAGGAAGGTCGCGATGGACATGTGCGAAGGCACTATGGGCACAAATACTATGCACAAAGCCCGTTTTCTTAGCTGCGTTTTCTAATTCGTAAACAGAATTTTGATTATATCAGTCGTTCAGAAACTGGGAAGAATGCGTTCGCAGCATTAGCCTGGATACTCTAGTCCGTTATTCCCATAAGAATGCATGAAGAGGAATCTCATTGAAGTGGAACTTGCTGGTTTGACCGGTTTAGCGTCGATTCTGTAGCCCGTTGCGACTGCACGACGCGTCGGGCTACTCTTTAAATCAATATTTCGCTATGGCTCCGAATTCAACGTTTGAGTACAAACTTATAGATTAGAATTGTTCGTTATATACTATTTTATTGCAGCATAATGTTTAAGGCCGTAATTCTTTAAGGTTTTCGAACACAGCATTTTTTATCTACAATTAACTAGCCCATCACTAGCGCGGGAAATTTTATGGCGCATGCGTAGTTTATCGCACCATGCAGTTACGGCCAAAGTTGTCACATTTTCGCGCCAATTTAGTGTGCAACATAACTACGCTATCGCGTTGATTTTTACGCGCGCCGCCTCGCCTTCGGTGTGGCAATATTTAGAATAATAAATCACGTTTATTATCAAACATGGCGACTAACCCATCGCTTGTAGCGCGATTTTATGTAGTTTTTATTAGAAACTGTGGAACGGCGAGGTTTTGAAATGGCGGTTCGCTTATTATTAGCTAACCTAATAAACTACTGATAAGAGTGCTAGGTGCTTTTGACCTGTGCATTATCTTGACAGATTGCTTTGGCGAACGTACTTTATGGCAATATGCTGCTAAGTAGGGTAGGCCATACGTTGCGTTCTACTAGATCCGGCTTGCGGGAGTTCTACAATCGGACGAGGCAAACGCGTGAGATATTTAATCTTTTTTATTATATCAACAGACGAACTTACTGACATATATATAGCAATAGGTAAAGAACCTCAATTCCTGAAAAACTTATAAAATTTTGAATTTCGTGTTTGGGACTAACAAATAAAGTAATATAGTGTTGGTTTTGAGCTTGAAGTTTTAGCACTTTTAATTTCGAAGCGCGAAGACTCAAACACATTGTGCAAACAGGTATTTGTCGCGGTGAGATCGCCATAGTAACAGCTGGTGATATATGTAAATGAGGTATTCGAAGACGACATTAATTATGTCTTAAATACAGGTTATCCTTCATGACCGGAATCTTGAAATTCAATCCAATGCTAGCTGCGACACTAGTTTCTGTTAGTCTCGTCAAAATTTGCGTATTGAACAGTCAAGTTTGTTTTAAACTCTTAATGACGTAAAATTTTATATCTATATATAACACATGTAAAATCCACAATTACGCACCTAAGTTGTCTTGTAGTGTTCGTAGCTTTGTACCAAGCGTAAGTTATGTCTCTTTCGTAAAACTGTAACCTACATATTGTATTACTAAAACCGAACCTAGACTATGTTACAACCAGTCATATATATGTAGGTAATATGGTCTACATTCTAGATAAATTATTATTTATTCCTTCTTGACACACATGCAGTTTCGTAACTTTAATGGCTATAAAATCAGTTACTCGCAAAGGTTAGTCGGGCTGGGGACGTAACTGCATTTTAAATATACACGTCGTATATTAAGTATCAAGAAATGGACTTGTGCTTAAATAGAGCCGCGTCTAATTTTAGTAAAGAAAAATATAAGTCTAAATAATATATTTAATTTTTTAAGGTCAATTGTATTATTCTATATATGTTATAACATTGCCATCGCCATTTAATCTTCGCCGTTCACAACAGCATTCAAATCAATTTCATGAAATATTAAAGTACTTTTTATTACGTTGCTTGAAGAGTTTATCAACGCCGTTGATTACGTGTAAAGATGTTGCGACCTTGCTTTTTATCGCGAATATTTTAAAACAATTGCATAGATAGCGGACGCCCAGTGCTTCGATTTTGAGGCGTTTCGAATACTGGGTCACTAGGTACTATTGATAACTCGAGCATGCGCTGATTGCGTGACTCTTTTGAATTCTTTTCTATTTACGCGAGATACGTAACGCATTTTTTACTGTTACTTACGTACTACAAACATATATATTTCATTGTTTCTCATCGCACTAACTTGTCTGACACGTAGAAAATCGTTATTATTTTTTCAAAGAATCTGTTTCACTCGGGTACGAACTCGCTACCCATCGGTTGTTAACAATGTGTAGTTGCCATTACACCAACGAGTCCGTTTCTTTAATCTCAATAAGTACGTCGAGTAGCGTGTTTTTACATACGGTGTTCTAATTTTGAATTTATCTAGCTAAATCGAGGTCGTAATTCGATTCGTAGCAAAGTGATAGATTAAACACTATCGTAGAACACAGAAGTAGATGTTTAACGCCTCAGCGGCCCCCGTTCGGCCTTCGCAACTCGATATCGATAAAAAAATAATACGTGTCACAGTAACATAAATTGTATTGTCTTATCACGAAAAAGTTTTAACCGAATAGGCGCGATAACCGCACGGCAACTAGATAATTTCCACCTCACCTTGATCTCACAGAATTAACTTTTTAAATATTTGAACAAGTCACCAACTTGCCTTGCATACTTTTGAGGTATCTACTTAGTTCCTTTGACGTCGCCTTATGAGTTACGTAGTTATAACATCAATTTAATATCTACGAAACGGCTTAATCTTATTTGATGGAATTGCGATATAGGAACGACAGGAACACTCAAGGCTATCGCCAGATGTCGCTGCTAATATATTATAATAATTTGTAATAATATATATTTTTATTTAATTGAAAACAATGAGGCGTTTTGCAAGCTAGCTTTTTTGTTTTGACCATAATAATTACTAGGTCATTCATAATTATTCACATATTCTCAAGTACTAAATGTCGTAACTCCAATTGAATGAACGCAATACGAATATATTATCTGGTTAATAAATAATTGATTAATTACGTTGATTAACATTCGTTTTTTTCCTAAATCCGTACTTTACATAATTTGTTCAAATCACGTGTCGAACTCGTTTTATCTAAGAATTCTGGTTTTAATCATTTATATTGACACATTTTAATTTGCGATAGTGCACACGTGACCTAATTTAAAGTTCTAAAACGAATGAAATGAGTAAAATAGTTTATTATACTAGAAATAATTTGGTAAAACTAATAATCTATACTAATATATAAAGATGAAGAGTTTGTTTGTTTGTTTGAACGCGCTAATCTCTTATTAAAAATTAATATTCTTAGCGTACGAAGTCGCTAACACTGTTACTTAGAGATTTAGAGTGTAGCCGAGTATTTTTAAACTCTTAAAAATTGAAATGGATCCCGTGTCGATGCTCACTTGTTCACACGGTGATAAGGTCGTGTTTAATATATTGATATTGGTCGTTTCTGTCGGGTGTGGTTAGATACAGAATTAGTGACGCAATGGAACCGGTTACCGAAAACATGACGGAAACCAATGGAGGCACCATGGCGATACGTTTGACCTGTTCGACATTTAGATAGGTCATTTATGTGCTTTGTATTCTAATTAATTGCAGTTGCTACGCATAATTGTGCTCATGCGTCTACCTTTGTGTCATTCGATATTTAATTAATATACATATATACATTTATATTTATTTCCACAGATAAATATAAATGCACATAAATTATTAACCCAATTTAAATGTTAACGAAAAAGCGCCCTCTGGTGGAATACTTTTGCTCGCACGTCTCCGTAGTAGAATAATATCAAGGCCGAATTTTTCGATATCGTGATGTAGCGTGAGAAACGATTATTGCTTTAAATTAGATAATTCCACTAGAATTTTTCGGATTTTTAGCGTGTAGACGCTAATGTTGCTCATAGGCTGTTGCGTACTTATTGATGACGTAATGAATTAAGTTAGCGCCCCAAACAGAAGAGAAGTTTGTTTATAATATGTATTATTTGATATGAATATGCTTTGAAACAACTGTGATTCCAACACGCGATAGACCGATCGTGTCAACTACGCTATTTAAACATCTCCCTACTGCGTACGTACTTCTTGCGTACATACGATGTACCTAATAAATTTCCATAGACGTAGATGGGCATAACCGAAAAATCTTTTCCACGCGCACGTTCGTCCATGAACTTCCGCACCGCTCGTCAAGGCCGATCGATCCGCCATAAATTGCCTGTCTGTTTTAGAAGGCACCCAGTCACAAGTGCCCGCCGTCGCCCAGATGACCGACTTCCCTCGGTTGCGTAATACACTAAAAATATTAACCGACCGCGGTACATTGTCGCCTCCGAAAGACTACGCCGAGATACTTAGAGCTTTGAGCGACACATGACACGTGAATGACGCCCAACTTTCGTGTTAAGTATGAAGCAATTTCACCGAAGCCGCGTTTTCAACGTTTAATTAACGTAAGCTGTTTCCGGTTGACGGTTGAGCAATAAGTGTACTATTAAAAATTATAAGCGACTTATAGACTGCGCTATCTGAGCTAATTAACATTTCCACAGAAGATAAACTGTACAGGCTGATGCTTGGCGCCGCTATCGCGATAGAAGGTGTCGTAATTTTGTATTATCTGTAGTTAGGCGATTATCGTAAGCCACGCGTGTGCCACTATTGAAAGTGCACAGTCACAACGACGTCTTTCGCATTGGAAGTCCATTAAGCGTTAAGCGGTGCTGCAGGTATATAATTGGTTTTTTATTAAACGAGGCGGCCGTATCAAACAACCTGTATAGCGTGGCGTGAGCCGCGAGCCCGTCACGATAATTTTTAATTATCACGCTCAAATGCCAGTGAACTTGGCCTCGGATCGTAGTCAGCGGAGCATGAGGCCCCAGACATAACAGGTCACACCTGACGACATCGTTCTAACTACCACACTTCTACGAAACGAGGAAGTACATTACGATTTGAGCGCAGATGCAACGGAGACCTATTTAGTTGTTCCATAGACATCCTTTATATTCTAACGTAACTTATATATTTCAAGTAATATAATAGCTACAAGCGATCTCTTCCAGGCAAGTCTCCTGTTGTAGAATCCAATATATTCAATTGGAAACACTGGCAAGAGACTGCAACAATTACCCTTCACCTAAGCTCCTAAGCACCTAAGAGCGATATCTCAATTAATGAAGGTTATTTCCAGTACCCGCCACGGCGAGACCTCGAATCCACCTCTTCCCTAATTGGGATAACTATTAAAACAAAGTTTCCGAACACGTGAATAAGCAAGTTACGAAGCGAGAATATTGACTAAACCTGTTTCCATCGCATGTATAGTTTCGAACCGCGAATTCAATACGTCTAGACTGCAAGATTAACTGTGCAAGTCTATGAGTCATTGTGTTCTCACGGTGAGACACGGCAGCTAGAAATTCTGACTAATCTCTCGATAGCGTTGCGGGTCAGCCGTTTGAATTCATCGCTGTCCGCTTAGGGTAGGAATCTTCGTCGATATAATGGCGGCTCACTAGACCGGAGTCGGAGCCGCGACGGCCGTATCGCTTACGTCCCGGCCGTAACAATACTCGACCGTTAATCGCGACGGCGCCGGCAAAAGAGAAAATCACGTGAAAACTGAGCCTCGCAACGGATCCTTCACGCCTACGCGTAGACGAGCGACAGGCGCCCGAAGGATAAAATTAGACCGATGAGCCGCCGCTAGATGCGTAACTATGCGGAAATCGAATAAAAAGAGAGCGTCGGTGTGTAAATTTATCGTCGCTACGTGTAATATGCGATTTTTTTTCGCCGATGCGCAGTTCGCAAGTTACACGCGTGTCCCTGAAACGGGCGACTAATCGAACGGGCTGCCCGCGGTTCTATTTCGGTGTCGCGGGACGAAAACGAAAGTGCCCTTTATTAGGAAGCGAATCGGCGGTGGCCGAGTCGAACCTTTGAACCGGTGACATAATTATTGGCGGTAACCGGATCGCGTCCGCGCATACGCCGTTTTCTGAGAATCACACGACACAGACTATGAAGCGAACGCGACACGGCCGAACGAGTAGGTAGGCACCAGACTCCACTACATCCGCCGTGGAACGCGAGTTATCGTCTACGCCTCGTTCATTCATACAAATAACTTTGTCGTTTAATCGCCGCCTCGACGATATTTCCGTTAAATTGCAATCATTGCAGAAACGATCGGTATTCAGGCCGGGTTTCCGCTCGACTTAAATTACATACTTGGGACATTCTAGGCGTCTAATAGCGCCCGCTATGTCGACCGATCCTGTTCATTTGGGAGGCGTAGCCCCATGGCTTCGTTTCTAGAAAAAACAGGTACATCAAATGTATTGGAGACGCCCGTGTTGAGGCGGTCACTTTTGACGCCAACAACCCCGTACGTCTCCAACAGACGCCTACCATATGCGTCATTAAATTTGCGCTGCACGGGCGGGAAAATCGAATGCGCTTCGACGAGCGACAAGTAGTTCCGAGCTAGAGTCGCAGAGCGGCCGGAAAACGTGTCCACCGGTTGATAACCCGGCGCCCATTGAGTGCGGACGCTGCGGTAGAAATCGCGCACGCGCTCTCGTTTTGGCGCGAACGTCCATGACGTCAGACGTCTGGATCGATGTCGACAGACGCTGCGGTAGTACGGCGGGGTCGACGTCCTCCTCCCTCCTCACACCTATTCACTGCGCCTCCCACCTGACTACTGCAAACGCATCCCGGCACGACCACATCTAGGCCTACGCTCGCATCTATAACGACCCTGCGACGATTCCCGCCTATTATGCTGATGCGAACGGTGCACTATGCGAGGAATCCACGTGAACGGGTTTCGTTGCGACGAAATAGCATCGCAGTTCTATAATTAATGGGACAGGTTTTTGCAATCCTAGTCGTCGACCTTGAGCCGACTGGTATTAACCGTTGTTCTCTTTTGTTGCAGAAGAAGAAATCGACGTAGTATCTCTCGGGACTACAACTACCCTACCCCTGGCTTCGACTTCGCAGACCCGAGGGGACTGTTACTCGCGAGGATCTTCCGCCCCGGAGAGGTATATTCAGCCCTCGGTGGAGGTCAACGTGACGCCGAGGCCCGTGGCCAGGAAGCGCTTGACGCCGCCGACGAGCGTCACATCTGCCGCGCCCAGACGGCGGAGAGGTCCCGGGAGACGCGGTCGCTCCACTACCGACACGGACTCGGAGGCCGAGGCGCCCGAGATTGAGCGGCGCGTCATACACAACGATATGGAACGCCAGCGGCGAATCGGTCTCAAAAATCTCTTCGACGAACTCAAGAAGCAAATTCCCGCGACCAGGGACAAAGAGCGCGCCCCGAAAGTGGTGATACTGCGCGAGGCGGCCGCCCTGTGCCGCAAGCTCAGGACCGACGACCTCGAGCGCGAATACCTCAAGAAGCAGCAGAACAAGCTCATCACCAAACTGAAGAAGCTCCGGACGATGTTGTCGGCGCGCTATCGGCCCTACTGAGCCCCGAGCTCGAATGGCCGGCTCCGGTCGGGGCGGTGAGAGCCACGCTCTTTCGTGTGACGCGAACGGACGAGATCCGCTTTTGTACAATTTTGTAAACTAACGAGATAAGCCCGAAACTTATATTGCCCGCGCGGACATTATCGATCCCTTATAACGCGGGATCATTGTGAATCGTTTGTTGAATTGTATTAGTCAAGTTATTGGCTCACTCTGCTTCTGCGGACCGCGGGGATTGCGCCTTCGATTTGCTCAAACGACGTGTAGCGGTGCCAAAGTGAGCCATCGAGTTGATGCGCCCTTTAGTGGTGCAAATCTTAAAATAGACAGACTGCTTCGAAACCTAAGTAGACTGGATATACCTCTTTTTGAATTACAATTAACGAAAATATGACACACGCGCAGTTCACGTTAACGTCGACGAACGGCGGTAGGGTTTTTCATTTGTCGAATCGAAGGAAACTGACTACGGTTCGTATGGGGAATCGCGTTGACGGTGGGAAGTAGGTGAACGATAGGCTGGCGAGGTGAGGAAGGCTGTAACGGTGATGACGCTGGCCATTTATATGTTTTCGGCCCGATAGGAATTTTCTCTAGAACCCAACACGTTTCGCCTCAGAGCGAGAGCCCGGGAAGTAATGTCAAATTGTTTAAAATGATATTATCGTAAGTCTAAACTACTTAGATTAGTTCGCTTATCGTTTTGTAGTGTTTTTGTTATCCTGTAAATTTTAACAAGTTTAAATGTTTTTTTTATGTTTAGTCGAGCAATTAACACGAAATCATTCAATCATGTTAACTTCGACGCTACGTTCAATCGGTTAATTCCATGTCAATCTATTCTACATAGAAAATATTTTGTCCTTATTCGGATGTATTTTACTTGTTCCGTGTATTTTTGCATCATTATTTGTAATATCGTATAAGTATAATAGGATCGTAAACCATGGTGAAATATTGATATTTTTTACGTTTATTCTAATATTATATTCCAGTGATCGAAACCTAATGAATTATAATCTCAGTGACTAGTGTCCGTAAAAAATAGACTGTGTATTTTGATAATAACATCAAAACCTAGGTTCGCAGGTCGCCCGTATGGGTTCTAACATAAATAACCACAAAATAGTTCCTCATAGTACCTACTGATAGAAAATTTTGCATTTTCTTTAATTATATTATAATATTTTTATTGCAGTAAGTTAGTGATGTACTCGCGATAGTTAAGAAAAAATCGATGAAGCCCGATCGGTCAGGCTTTGAAAAGGGTTGATGTTTTATCAAGCACATGGTCAGCAGATATATAAATTTGAAGGCTTTAATTGTGTGCGGAATGTGCCTTGCTATGTACATAATATAATATTATATAATATTAGGTTTATACTCGAATTAGTTGCAAGAAATATTTTTTTGTGAGAAATATTATCTTAGTGATAGTGTTGTTCTTATAAGTAGTACACGAAGAGGTTTAATAGTTATCGTGTTAAAGATTCGCAGTTTATCTTCCAGTAGATGTTAGTGTACATAATAGGAGTAAGACGTACATAGGTGTATTTCATCTTTTTTTATATAAACAAGTATTTTTTTTAGTAATTGTTTTTTCATAACTGGAGAGTTACGAGTTCTCGAATGTTGTACCTGCATTTAATTTTTTGTTAATCTTGACATAAATAATAAAGTTAGATGGTTTAGTTATTTGAAAATAACATCGGTTTCTTTGAGGTGATAACACTTATAAAAATAGATTTCACGTAAGGAAAAGTCAGTAGTTAATGATTTATTTATAAGTAACGCCAGCTTTATCGTCGATATAACGAGATAACTAAACGAAAGAATTCAGCGTGTTATTCTTGGTCAAGGCACATTTCCAACACTGCCAAACGAAATAAAAAAAACCTAGGAACTTCGTTTGTATATGTTATAATTAAGATTGAATGATTAAGTCATGTTATAGTTTAATTTTTATTACATTTTTTTTCTTATAAAGTATCCGTATTGTAAGAGAGACCTAACCGCCGCCCGGCTCGAGGGACCAATCGGGAGGTGTAAGAATTTTTATTTAGATCGATTGGTGTTAGCTGCGGAGTCGAGCGTGCTCGGGCGGCGGTTGCGCGCGCGCCGCTACAGAGAATGCATGGCGCAAAATAGATTCCGCCTAATATTAATGTTGCACTCTGCAATCTTTGAAGCGGCGTTCTAATCGTCTATGATATAGTGTACTTACCACATCCTAACTTTTTTGGATACTATTATTATGAGGAGAAAAGTTTTTTTTTTGGTTTTTGTTCCTTAATTATTTGTATCAAAAACATTAAGATAATCATTAAATATGATAATAAACAATGGTCGGATGAAAGCAGAGCTCGGAAGCGGTTGGCTATTGATTGTGATTTTATATGTTTTCGGTGTAATTTTTGGGTAAGGCTAAATTAGCGTTTAGAAACTGTGATTTTTGTACCTGTGTGGTACAGTGGGACGTGTTTCCTGCACTCTGCTTTTGCTCGGCTGAAAAAAACATTATGCTCTTTCATTTCATTACCAAGTACACCCCTACCTTACCTTCGAATCCTTAGAACACGAATTAAGAGTAAAATAACCACAAATACTGAGAAGCCTAACAAGATCTGTATTACGAGTATAACTTTCTTGAACAATTGGTAAAATATAAGAAAGAATATAAATATATAAAAAGGTTTATGTATGTACTACAAATATACTTAACAATATTACAACTATTTGTTAAACGACTAGTACATAGAGTATACTCTAATCAAAGAAAATAAAGTATACTTCGAATTTGAGTGCTATACTTTAGCCTACCGGTTAGTGTTCATCTAAGGAAATAATATAATTCCAAAGCAATTTATCCTAAGTTGAGCACCAAGTTTTAAAGAACATTATAACTAACTTCTAAAAGAAATAGGTACATATTTTTACTAGACATAAATGGTAAAACGAAATTTTATATACATTTAACTACTTGATTCTTTCAATAAATGAGTTTAATTAAAAAATATGAATAACATAAAAAAATTCGCTTACTATAATAATTATTGCAACTAAATTATAATTAAAATTTATAGATGAGGAAATCTCTTTCGATATGTCAAATTGAGTGAAATCCCGTTTCCCCACGTGGGGCATAGGGCGAACACAGTGACCGATCAGTGAAACGGACACACATTTGTGTCCGTTTCACTGATCGGTTTTATTTACAGGCAAGTAGTTGATCAGACTTCTGTGCCCAGTCCTACCGAAACAATTTACTGTTTTACCCGGGATTCGAACCCAGGAACCTCTCGCGCTTAACGCAATGCTAGGCAACACGTTTAACCACTCAACTACAGAGGCGGTTATGTCAAATTGCGTAGAACGAAACATCTAATTCAAACTTCACGTCACTTTGTTTAGAGTTATCACTGACCGCAATCAAAACAAACCTGAAGTTAGTTACATGCCGCTCGGTGAATAAGTATATGTGTGCGATGGCTTTACGAACTGTGATATCATCTAAAATACCCATGGTAGTGATATTAGGTGCGACGGGAACTGGCAAAACAAAGCTAAGCCTCGAATTAGCTCAAAAGTTTGAAACAGAAATTATCAGTGCAGACTCCATGCAGGTGAGTAAAACTTAACCTCAAAATTTGTATATTTTGTTTTGTAGTAGATCAACTGTTATTTAAGTTTTTAAAACTACATTTAAAATCCTATAAATCCCTCATGCTGTAAATTATCTAGAAGGTAATGAGGACACATTACCTTTAAAGACGCAGTTAACAATAAGATGTTTAGTTTATATAACTTTATAGAAATCACAAGATATTATTTTATGTCATCACACTCTTTGGCCAAGTTTTATCTTTGCCTTTAGTTAGAACTTCTCTGCCTAATATAATTAATAAAAATATCCCCTCGACCATGGTTTTGATAGGTGATATATGAGTAGTGATTGAAATTATTTAACATCTTGAACACAAGGAGCAAATTTGTCATCATACTTATATTACTCTAATTGTTTGAACTAAGTTGTAATGTTATTATATTAATTACTGAATATATCACTTTCTATGCTTGAAGTTAATGTAAACTGACAGAAATATAAAGTAAGAATGACGAAGGCAATTTGTCAAAAATTTACAAACTATGCTCATAATCTCTAATATATCTAAGATATGTAAAAAATTCCTTACAGTTAACATGATGTAACAAATACATGACGGTAACTGTCTTCGTGGCTACAGCACAATGGTAGGGCATACTTCCTAACATAGTACTGCGAGAGATCTTGGGTTGAATCTCAAGAAAACATAATAAAATTTCAGTTTAGCAGCATACTAGATCTGCTTGTTCTAGTGTTGCCAGTTAATAAAATTTATCCTTAAACATATACGTAATATGAACCATAAGAACATTTAATATGAAGTAAATATAACTGGAGTGTACTCCTTGACTTCACTTCTTCATATACTACAAATCTAAGTGGTGTATCAAATACACAGATTCTATAAACTTAGGAAAGAACTTGTATCATAAATAATTAAATATTGCTATTGATTAGCTTTTCTTATTAAATGGCAAGTCTTAATATGGCATATAATAAAAACATATTTGTATTGTATAATACTTAAAGATATGAAAGCGTAGACAAAACTGATTGAATTTTTGAAGACATTCATCAAATGTTATTTATTCTTAAAAAAAATATATATATATAGCTCTTAAATATATTTCAAGGTATGAACTTGTTGTCGCTAAATGGGGAACAATATTTTGTTTCAGTTCGGCATGATAAAAAAATTTCATGAACCTGGTAAAAAATAAGTGTAACAGTCCAGACCCAAAGTTGATTTTACTAAACATCTATGTTTTGGAATTTTGCTTATTTACATATTTTCCAATAACTTAAGTTGTCTTTTAAATTATTAATTGTAACTGAATGTATAGTGATAACAGGGAAATTTCTAAGAATTTAAGAGTCACAAGTATATGCTCTTAGTTCATAAAACAAGACCTAATTTAAAAAACTAACCACATTTTCGCTAGGCACCAACGCTTAGTTGTCCTCTACCGTCATAAAGCGCTTGAAAAAATGGCTGTAAAAATGACACTTCTGCTGTCCAACGCGGGGTTCTTTTACGGTGTATTTAAACAGGGATTTTACTATGTACCACCCTACCTGCAGTTTTAAACAAATGTTCCGCTATTACCTTCATCTCGTAAGTCCGCGTAAAACCTTGCGATTTTTCCCCGCAAACGATAATCCGGCAAAATTTATGCGTGTATTACGCTGATTATTTTTTTAATTGAATTAACGCTGCGTTCGTTAATGAGATAGGGCAAATCCTACTTTTTATGGCTTAATTATTTCTATGTAAAAATATTTCTTTATTATAATATAGTCTTAGTGACGGTGTTAGAAATTGTGGTGTTATATAGAAAAATCTTTAGAGAAGTAAATACTGTCTATAGTTTACTTGAGTAGTACACATTTAAATAAAACACTTTGACGGTTAACTAACATATCGCGTTTTAAACCGTTAAAGTGTTTTATTTAAATTCTGAGGAGTATTTTCTTGCTCTATATTACTATGCAATTAGATACTAATTATCAAAGTGGGTAACGCGAGAGGTTTAAATATACATAGGATTGTGTATACACTACTCTTTATATATTAAATTATCCTATAGTTGTTATCGTTACGAATGCTCCTACACTTTAACATGAATGAAAACGTAGTGAAAGCCTAGTATGTACTCATAGCAAGCGACAAGTCATTCTAATGTGTCATACCATTTATCTGGAGTCCACCCACCAACATCTGCTCATAATCTGGGTAACACCAGTATGAATCAAGCTGACACGTTTTTAAAAGCACTTTACTAAGTATTACTTAGTCGACCGCCTCCGTAGTGCAATAGTGATCTGAGTATATAAGGCATATACGTATCATCTGTAGTTTACGCGTGTAGTATACATTAAAAATAATACACTTTTAACGGTTTAAAACGCAAAATGTATTAATTAACTTATTCCCCCGTTTGTTCCACCGTGACCACAGCTACTGTAAAACATCCGAAAGGTCGGGCCCTAGTTAAGTGAATTTATAAATAAGTCGGCTAGTACAATTCGCGTTTGAATCCGTTAAAAGTGTTTTATTACAGGACCCAACATTTTGTCAACTACCTCTTGCCTGTGTGAAGAAATGTGTTACTTCATGTCCCATAGCGAAAACAGTATTTCACACATTATCATTACAACTTAAACTGCGTTGTTATTTTTTATAATATATTAACAAATAATTTTTTCAACATTAAATAAATTTATATATAGGACTACTTAAATAGAACGTTAGAGCACTTGAAAACAGCTGATTTTAATAACCCTATTCTTGCTTACTTAAGTAAAAAACTTAAAATAAAGATATCCCACTAGACTTGTATGTCCTTATCTAATATATAAAATTCTCGTGTCACTGTGTTCGAACTTGAACACCTCCGAAACGGCTCGACCGATTTTCACCAAATTTGATATGTGTATTCAGTAGGTCTGAGAATAGAACAACATCTATTTTCAAGTAATAAGGGTTGTTCACCTTTAAATTTTTTATTTTATTTTTTAGACAAAATTTTTAATTTCTATTTTTTTATGATACAACATACAAAAATACATACAATCCTCAATTTTCACCCTTCTACGATCAACCCTTATTTTTTAATAGCCATTTTAGTAAAATTCTTTATATGGCTAAACAACGTTTGCCGGCTCAGCTCACTCTTATATTTTTTTCGAGATTAGAACCTTGTTCCAATACTCACCAATAAACCAGTGCGGTCGTTGATTCCTCTCAAGAGGTGTAAACAATTTAGTAAATTGCATGGGAATTTTAGCTGTGTCCGAGTTTGTCTACTCAGAATTATATAACGAAGCTTCGAGTAGCCTTCGCTCAGGTCGCTGGCGTTATAGTACACCGTAACTCAACAGATAAAACATTGATATAACTATTTATTCTTGCGCACATCTATAATGCTCACTGAATGATCGTTCTCGAGTGTTTGACGGATTCGTTGGTGGTATGGTAGCAATATATGGCAACGGGTCGTGGCTTCGATTCCCACAGGGTCTAACATTTTTCGAAACAAGTTGGACTTCGTCTAGAAATCTGGATATTAAATTGGTGGTAGTAATATCGAAATTCCCTCCGGGTCACAAAGGACTGTCTACAGATGAAAAAGCTGTGAAGTTTAATCGGGTATAGATTTCAGTCTGTGGATTTCCGAATATACAAAATCAAAATAGGTCGACAACGCATTTTGTTTAGATGTTATATGGCTGGCATATTTCACCTACCATCAAGGTGACCCCAGGTTTGGCCCTCTTCCTATATCATAAAAAATACTAAATCATTCATTTTAATCCTGATTGAAATTGTTTCACGTAAAGGTTTGCTAAGATTATTAACAGCTTAACAGCTTTTGTTCTTGTAAACCTTTACGTGGCTATTCGTAGTCGTGGGATACGTCCACTTTTTCAATTATTATGTCCACTAAAATTATTCGTATTAGCTATGTATGTATGCAAGTATATACGCGACGTTATAGACCGCGGCCATCTTATACTCGAAGACGACATCTTGTTTATAAGAATTAGATTCAATGAAATACTTAAAATAATTTATTCTTAATCAGAGTGTAAGAGATACAAATACACTTTTCTATTAAAAAATAGCGACACCTCACGTCGATAGTGGTACCTATGTGTATGATAAGAATATTATATATTTTCTCACGATCAAGTAAGCAAAGATAAACTTACCTGACTTTTTGAATTAGGGCAATGAAACTTTACAGTACATTAAACTACTTTCCAGAGTTTCGAAACCCCTAATTAACACCCTTCTGTTAATTTTATAGTTTCAAATGTGTTGATTGACGGAGTAGTTTTTGTTGCTACTAATATTCCGGATCGGAATTCTAAGTATGACAGTTAATTGGGGGTTAACTATAAAAATGATAAGAGTTTTACACGAACGATGGCATATATTAAGACTATATTTTCTAGTTGATAAACTGTTTTATTTAAGTTTACTTAAAGCGTTAAAAAGCTGTTGGATTTTTTCCACGTATTATTATTTTCAGTAGTAGATAAACAAAAAATAAATGCATCTATATTACAGGCAAGTTATGTAATATCTTATTTTATTTATTGAAGTAAAATTTCATTCAGCCTTCTATTATTTCTAATAAAAGACTTCGTGCCCTCGAAAAATTAATAATGATGAAACAGTCTCCAATTCGCAACTTGAAATTAACATATTAAATTGATTTCTATGGATTTATTCAGTCTGAATTAAACAAAGGAAACTGGTGGTGTGTTTAAATATGTAGGTAACCTAACGCACTATTGAAAAGCCTTGAAAATTTTAAAGCTAGACGGAGGAACATTAAAATCAAGGTAGTCTGGCTAATACTGTCTTATCTTAGCTCATAAAACCAAAATTGCAATGATTCTCCGTTAATTACGTATGCTTACTGATGTTTATCACTTTTGAATTTGTGTTATATTAGTCTATTAATATTAGGTATATATTTCGTATCATTTTTTTTAAGAACGATAAGAAAC